CTCCCCCGGCCTCCATCGTCCTCCCCCGGCCTCCCCCAGCCTCCATCATCCTCCCCCGGCCTCCATCGTCCTCCCCCGGCCTCCCCCAGCCTCCATCATCCTCCCCCGGCCTCCATCGTCCTCCCCCAGCCTCCATCATCCTCCCCCGGCCTCCATCATCCTCCCCCGGCCTCCACCAGCCTCCACCATCTTCCACCAGCCTCCACTAACCTTCATCTTCCTCCACCATCCTCCATCCTCCTCCACCAGCTGCCACCAACCTCCACCGGCCTCCATCAATCTCACCCTGCCCTGCCCCTGCCCTGCCCCTGCCCTGTGCATGCTGGGCACCACCCTGCGAGGCACAGGGGAGGGTCTGGAGCCTGGGCCTGCCCACAGAGGACATTTTGGCCATTATGGAGCTACATCTGGCATCTACCTCCATAACTTTTTTTTTTTTTTAATGTCGGTCCTGGGGTTTGAACTCTGGGCCTGGGCGCTGTCCCTCAGCTCTTCAGCTCAAGTCGAGCACTCTACCACTTGAGCCATAGTGCACTTCCAGTTTTTCACGGACTTTCTTGCCCGGGCTGGCTTTGAACCACGATCCTCAGATCTCAGCCTCCTGAGTAGCTAGGATGACAGGTGTGAGCCACCGGTGCCCAGCTCTCCATGACACCTTTTAAGATCTAGAAAGTTAACACAGTGGTACCCCCTAGCAAATACAAAGCTCTGAGTTCAACCTCCAGCACTGGAGAAGATGTCAGACTATGAAGTCATCTTACTTTGTCTGTGGTCAACGTCATCCCATGTCATGTGTACATATAATAAACTTAAAAAACAAAAAGCCAGTAGGAGCTTGCAGCTCCCGAGTCCTGGGGAGGCGACAGAACGTCTTTCACTGGGAGCTTGGCCATCTCCACCTTCTGACCTTTGCCCAGGGGCCGCAGAGCTGCAGAGAGGGACTTGGGAGGGCATGGGGTGGAGACAAAGGCTCCTGGACAAAGGCTTCACCCCTCCTGCACTGCCCCCCTCAGTGTCCCTAGCCCTGGGCCCTGTGGGAACTCGGGGGCCATGTGAGGGGGGTGTCAGGGGCCAGTCCCAGGGTGGGTCTGGGTCACCCTGGGAGAAGTCTGCAGGTGCCAGATGGCCCCCTTCCCCTGCAGCCCTGCCTGCTCCTCCCCTCCCCTCCCTATTCTGCTCTCTCAACGCCTGGCTCCTGGATGCCCTGAGGAAGCCTCTGGCCCAGGCAGTCCAGACCTGCATTTGCATTTCAGGTCTTGTTTCTTCTGCCCTCTCAGGCCCTGGCTAAGTCCCGTCCAGGCCCCAGTTCTTGAAGGGATCTTGGCCCAGGGACAGCACTGACTGCCAGCGCACAAGGCCACCGTCCCAGACAGCCATGGCACATAGTTGTGGGGTGAGACAGGGGCTGTGGTCTGCTGGAGTCTGCAGAGGGCTGGCGCTGGGTGGCAGGCAGACGACCACATTCCTGCACAGCCACCTTGATGGACAGCAGGCCAGCCTCACACCCTGCAAGGCCTGGGCACACGGGTCACGGGTGGGATGGCGAGGGGTTCGGAGGGGACGCCAGGGCTGGCCGAGACCCCGAGATCCACCCAGGCTGTGCAGGCCCCAGGGAGGGTCACGGCTGAGCCCTCGGGATGCTGACCTCCCAGCCCAGCCGGCAGCTCGGGGTTGGGCCTAGGAGAACTGGCCTCCAAACCCCATGTGTGGCTGGGCTCCCGCCAGTCTGGACAAGGCCCGAGGCGGGAGCCGCCTGCCTTTGGCTGTATGTGTGCGTGTCATCCGTCTGGAATTCAAGCGGAGAAGCTGTGTGGTGAGGAGAAGCCCCACCGTGCCTTCTGAAGGATGCGGCGGGCCCTGGGCCCCGGGCCCCACTGCGCCGCTCCCCTGCCCCCACACTGCCTGCAGACGTGATAGAAAGAGCTCCTTCTCATGCCACAAGCATGGTCACTGTCACCCACAGTCCAGGTAGCACCCACGGATGAGCACAGTGCCCACGGACAGATGCCAGCAGCCTGGGAGAGGAGGCATCCATGCCCTCCACCAGGGAGAGAGGATCTGAACCAAACCCCAACCCAGCCAAAGCTGCCTGGAGACAGGCCGGCCTAGTGCTGCATACACAAGGGCGCCTGGTAAACCAGCCTGGCCACTCGAATCCAGTGCGGTCACTTATCAGAGAAGCCACACTTCGGAAGATGGGGTATTGGAGTCTTTATTACAACACTAGCAGTCTGCAGCCTTCACCAGGAGCTCTGTTCATTCATTGGTGTGCTCACTCCCTGGACGCCAGGCCTTTGCTGTCCTGTTCATGGGGCCCGCAGCTGGTGGGACACCTTCCTCCCTCCGATGTGGCTCTCAGCCGGGGCAGACGGATGGGTCCCCTGGCTCCGAGCCCCCACTATAGAAAAAGCCCTCTCCTGCCCCTTAGTGAGCCCCATGGACTGAAGCTTGAATCTACTGTACCTTCCATCCCAGCCTCCTGCTCACAAAGGGATTCTTCGCGAACTCCATGAGAAGAAATTCCTCCCCTAAGTGAACCCAGGCTGTGGCTCAGGTCGGAAAAGCTGCATGCACCTGGGAGCACACAAGCAGACACAGCACTGTGGCCTTGTCTGCATTCGCCCCACACTGGACCAGATGCCCCTGCCAGTGGCCAGCACCCTGGGCCTCATCCGTCAGCAGATCTGGAAGCCACAGAGAATAAACCGAGGCCACAGGTCGGTGTGCACAGCGTCAGCACCGTCAGGACCCAGAGAGGAGGCCAGGGACTGCGGGGCCGTGTGAAGAACCAGCAGTCATGCTGAACAGCCAGAACACGGCCTCTGGGCACTTGTGTGGGGGCCGCAGGATCGAGCCGGGAGAGGTGCTGTGGGCAGCTCAGCTTCAGTCCTGTCCCCTGGACTTTGTCTGTGGTCACCTTGGCGAGCCATGGCTTGTGTGTGTGTGTATGTGTGTGCACACGTGCCATGCCCTGGGCTTGAACTCAGCCTGGGCGCTGTCTCTGAGCCTCTTTTGTTCAAGGCTAGTGCTCTATGACTTGAGCCTCAGAGCCACTTGTGGTGTTCTGGTGGTTTATTGAAGATAAAGAGTTTCGCAGACTTTCCTGCTCAGGCAGGCTTTGAACCATGATCCTCAGTTTTCAGCCTCCCGAGTAGCTAGGATCTCAGGCGTGACCCACTGATGCCTGTGTGGCTCACTGCTTTTGATGGGCAGGAGGAATTTTTGCTGGGGTGCTCTGCTGGGGTCCTCCGCCATCATCCCACCTCCTCCGGAGCAGGCTCTGCTCCTGCCCTGGACACAGACAGGGCAGAGACTCACGAAGCAAAGGCAGGACGGCCTGGGCCCAGGGCGAGGTGGGGCACCAGGAAAGGGCAGAGCCCAGGGCAGGGCAGGTGCCAGGAGCCAGGCAGCGCGGGCCTGCACCCCACTCTCCCTCCACCTGCTCCCGGCCTCTTCACCCACCTTCCTCCTCTCCACAGCAGGTGATCTTGTGCAGGATGCAGGACTGGGCAGCCCTGAAGGAAGCAGGGATCTCGTGACCGCAAGGTGCCCACGTCAGACTCTTGGATTTTAGGGTAAAATCCTATTGCTCAGGCCAGAGTCATGACCATCCACACAACTCGGTTTATTTTTATTATTACAAGGAACCCAGGGCCTGGTGTGAGCTAGGCAAGTGCCGGGCCCCGGGTCACGCCCCGGCCCCAGGGCTGCGGTGGAGGGAGGTCTCCCCCCCCCATTCTCTGGCTGCCTGCAGTACTTCTGCTCTGAATTCTAAAGGCCTCCTTCCGCCAGCGAGCTCCCTCCTCACGTTCAGGCAGTGGAGCTGGGGTCAGACTTTCCATCGCTTTCCTGTTTGTGACCGTCACTTGTATTTCTTCTTCATTCTTCTATGGTTTCACGTCGGTGCACCCATGCATAAAACGCCACCTGGGTTTCACTCGGACTGTGGGCAGCCGCCCCCGGGGCGCAGCTGGGTGTTGTGGCCCAGGGCCCTGCCTCCCTTTTCTGACTGTTGTCAACACCAAGCCCCAGAATCTCCCCTTCTGTATCCCCTGTGGCCTGAGGGACAGGCAGTTTGAGTCCAGCCATAGGCCTCGCCTTCCGCCTGGCCACTCCATCCAGCGGCTGCCACCCAGGACGGACCAGTGATAGAGCTGGACCCCAAGCAGGATGGACAGGACCCTCCCTCTGGGGCCGGGCGGAGCTGGTGTGCTAGCCCTTGCGGGATGTCGTGGGAGCTCTGGGGTCCAGCAGCCTCGGTACCCCCTGGACAGCAGGGGGCCCGGGCAGTTCCCCACCCTCTGGAGACGAGGCAAATGCACGGGCACTGTGCTCCCATGCTGGTGGCACTGCACAGACATTCTAGTGTTTTCTCCTTTGCCAGCAAGTCTGGGTGTGGGGGAGATGACATTTAACAGCCAAGAAGCCTGGTCCTCACCTCTGTGGCCTTGGCCCATGTGCTCACCCATCAGACAAGCAACAGCCTTGACAGACCCCATGGTTCCCGAGACCACGGACCCCACAGCCCCCACGGCTCCTGAGACCACGGACCCCACAGCCCCCACGGCTCCTGAGACCACGGACCTCACAGCTCCCACAGCTCCTGAGACCACAGCTCCCATGGCTCCCGAGACCACGGACCCCACAGCCCCCACGGCTCCCGAGACCACGGACCCCACAGCCCCCACGGCTCCCGAGACCACGGACCCCACAGCCC